AGGCTGAGCATGGAGAGGGCCTCAAGGAGTTAGAGCCTATAAATAGGGCTCACAACCCTTAGGGTTAAGGTTTTTGTCCAGTGCACATACGCTCGATGTAGCTTTTCCTAAGCTCATCGTAGGTCATTAAGTCCTCGCATCCGATTTCCCACCTACGCTCAACGTAGGGGACTATCCTACACTCAATGTAGGGAAAAATTCTTGAAATTAAAACTTTAAACAAAAGAATAATACCAGTAAGAATCGGGTGTTACACTTTTTCTCAAAGAGACTTTTTCCCACAAAAAAAAAACAAGCACCACCTCTGTGTTTTGATCAATAACTTTGTGAAGCATTTTTGTTATATGTGTTTTCCAGTAAATGAGTCGGAATAAATTTCAAAATCCAAAAGCTAGTTGATAACAATGAACAAGAACCTAAATCATCAACTTCAAAACATTTGTCCTCACATCGTCATAAACAACATGGACTCGTGAATCCCCAACAACAAAAACACGGTAACCACCAATGGAAACTCATAAGATGATAAGAAGTCATCAACTTGCTGTTCATCTTTAGAAGCTCTTTTAGCAACAAAAAGCAGTTTTTTTGACCAAGTTATTTGTTCTCACACTTCAAACCAATCGTTATTTGTTCTAGCTTTGTGAAGGAATTATGTTCATCTTGTAGTCCATTGCATTGTGTTAAACATTACTCACTATTTCCATGAAATTGCAACATTTAATTATGTTACATTTTAGTGGAATTTGAATTTATTAATTTGTGTTTTGTTCTTTTTTCCTTTTTGTGGTTGAATTTATTAAATTGTGAATTAAATTATTAATATGTGTTCTTTGAGGTTGTTTTTGTTAGAAGTTTAAAATGATAATTTGTATCATTAAGCAAATATGTTCAATAACCTTACCAAATAGCACCGAGATATCTTAATGGTCCTGCTACGATTTACGCAGTTTCTGTCAAAAAACCCTTAGCGTGGAAGCGTTAGAGTGAAATCTTAGGGAGAGAACTAGCCTCATGAAAGCTAGGGCTCAATTTGTAAACATTCTCTTTTTAGATCAATCATTAAATTCCAGTTTTGTTTGACTATTTATGATCTATCAATGTACAATAATTGGTATAAATTGGTATCAAAGTAGTTCGATCACTAATGTATAAATTTGTAATTTCACGGGTTGAAGGAATCAGAGGTAGTCTTGACGCTGTTCAGAGTGAAATTGGTGCTTTGAAGGGACAATTCAAGGAAAAATTAGATCATTGATGAGTAATTGTTGAAGAAATATGAAAAACGCCATAAAAAACAACTAATTCAGAAGAATTAGAAGGCAATCAATCACAAATACCAATGCCAAAATTCAAAGTATCAATGAGACCACAACAGAAGACTGATAAGAAGTTGGAGAGAATTTAAGCAGTTGATCTTGAATCAATTTCGAACAATAGTAAATAGAACATTTTTCTCAAAATTTTAAGAGATTGAAGCCACAAGAATAATTGAACTAAAGAATATCATATAAGAATGACTTTGCATCGAAAGAAAAAAAATCAAGAAATAAGTATCATGCTATGCTAGATTGTCTCTGTTTTGTTTAGGTGGTCCGTGTAGCTGATATTGCAAGACTTCGAGTGGTTAGAGTTCAGCTCTTTGATTCAGGTGAGTCTTCTTACTATACTATGTAGGACAGTAGGTGTCATGGTATACTAGATTGTCTTTCTGGCTTTTGCATGAAAGACTATGGTAGTACCATAGCACCTGTATGAAAGACTATGTGGTACCATAACACCTACATGAAAGACTATGGTGGTACCATAACATGAAAGAACGTAGTGGTACTGTAGCAACGAAAGTGAGTATAAGACTTGATGATATCATTTCATTCGCATGAGTATGTGATATTTTGAAGAAACTCACTAAGTTTCGTGTATACGGTTTAAGTTTAAATGTATTAGGTTGTTCCAACAACAAGGGGGTGGGGCGACTTGATTACACTGTATCCATGGTCGTGATTTGGAGACTTCCGCATTTTATGATTTTACTATCTTTTATTACTCTGATTTTTTGGATCATGGTTTGTTAGCTTAAACAAATGATTACTTATGTGTTTTAGAAACAAGTATGGAGGTTTACCTAATTTTAAAAATGAAAATTTTGGAACGTTAAAAATTTACTTAGAACTTTGATTTTTCAAATGAACGGTGGTGGTGGTGGATGGAGGTGACGATGGAGGTAGGATGGAGATGGTGGATATGTGGACGGAGGTAGTGGCGGGAGTGTGAAAATGGTGGAAGCAAGATGGTGGTGAGAGGATGAAGATGGTGTACGGAGGCTGTGGTGAGAGGATGAAGATGGTGCACGGAGGCAGGGTCGGCTCTAGAGCATGGGCAAGCTGGGCGACCGCCCCAGGCCTCGCCAAAACTCGAGGCCCCTCGGTTACGAGTAGTGTATATATATAGTTTTCGATGATGTATTATATAATACCGAAAAATAAACAAAAAGGTCTTGCAGTTGAGTCAGCTAAGGCGTGGGTGGTGTTATTGTTGAGGTTTAAGTTTGAACCTTCCTCATTGCCTTTTTCCATAATCTTTTATACATACCTTTTATAATTAATTAAGTAAAAAAAAACTTTTGTGCCTTTCCAAGAGACCGACGCTTCATTTTTCAAGAAGCAACTTGAATATGTTCGGAGTTCAGCCTCAAGCTGAGAAGCTCAAAGAGGTTTCCGCAATAGTTATCTCAAAAGTTAAAAGCAAATCTCCCCTCTTCAAAGTTCTATAGTTTGGTTATTTCTCTGCCTCTCTGTGATGCTCAACTGATGTTGTTGTGTTGATTTATACCTAGGCAGGAATGAACAAATGATCAGCTTGTAATGAGTCCATCTTTTACCATAAGATCTTCACTAGTTAATTATCCTTCATAAGCTGGTCATGTATCCAGTATCCTTCTAGATGTAAAATCATTATTCAATTTTTTTCTTTTAAATTTCAAGGTGCAATCTGACTAGGGTTAAGTTTATCGATTAGCTGTGTTTTTCATATAAGTTTTATAAGCTTAATTAGTATATATGTTACTACTTGTATTATTGAGAGATAACATATATTTTAATTCACTTTTACCCTTAGGTTTCAGGTTTGTTTTCTACAGTTACCTTCTATGTGATGATGTCGTTGAAGGAAAAAAAATTATATGTTCTCTGCAGCCATTGATGACCTTTACTTCCTGTTGTGTTTGGGAATGCTATTTATTTATTTATTTTCAAAACAGAATAAGTTCATATTAATGAAATGACATATACAATGCCAAAAAGTCAGTACATAAGTTTTATTTATTAATTTTTTTTAATAAAAATCAATTAAAAAGACTTGGATACTATTTAAAATGCTCTGCGCAGAGCACAAGGTTGGCCTTTTCCACTTAGTTCTGTTTTGGACGATTTTACCCTTAGGGTAGCCCCCTCAAGATTTATCTTCCTGATGTTGTTAACCTTGTGTTGTTAGTTTCCCACTTATGTAATCTTTATTTTCATCCCAAACTCTTGTACCGGTCCAGATTCCGGCTGACTTTTGTTTATTTTCTAATACATTTTGTCTTTAAACGAAAACATAGTTAAATGTGTTCTTTTTTTTTTGTGTTATTTAGTTGATAAAAATTCTGGAGATATTGTCACTCTTATCAAAATCTTCTTCTATTTGATTTGAAGGGCCTCATTTTTTTTTCGCCCCGGGCCTCAAATCGGCTTGGACCGCCCTGCACGGAGGTGGTGGTGAAATGGTCCCTCAAGTATATATGTTTTATCAACTTTGGTCGTAGGACAAAAAAGTATTTTTACAATATAATACATTTATGCAGTTCCCTGTTTTTTACAGTAATTAATCGTGGGGGGTTTATAATCGTTTTCAAATTTTACAGGGTTAGATATCATTCTTGTGCGTAGAAGTAAATTAGTAATCTAGGATGGTTCCAGTTTTTCGTAGAGATTCAAATGAAAATTTTCCAGAAATTATGCTTGTTAGTTGTCACTTTGTCTATTACGAGAATAGTGGTCTGATGCTGAAATTACAAACAAATATTGTATGCTATACAGTTCTGTGCTATTTGTTTGGCTAAATCTAATATTAGGTTTTTTTTTCTCATTTTACATGGAGAATCAAATATATTGTTGATTTTATCATAATTATGCTTGCTATACTGTTTATTATTAGGTTAGGGAAATGACTTACGGCCCAATGAAGTTTCCAAACCGTTCAAAAAACTCCAATCATGTTTTGTCTGTATAGAAAAACCCAACAAACTTAACATTTGTCTAAAAAAGCTCAACTATGTTATATTTTTATTCAATTCTATGGAAATCACCATATTGGGGAAATGACTTGTAAGACCAACGAAGTTTTAAAACCGTTCAAAAAACCTCAATCATGTTTTTTCTGTTCAAAAAAACCCAATGAATTTCACATTTTGAACAGAAAAAAAATGATTGAGATTTTTTGAACGGTTGAAAACTTCGTTGGGTTTTTCTAGATAAATGTTAAGTTTGTTGGGTTTTCTTGAACAGACAAAACATTATTGAGATTTTTAGAACGGTTTGAAAACTTAGTTGGGATCATAAGTCATTTTCCCTTTTTAGGTTCTTAGCTCCTACCAAATCGTTGGTGATTGTTGACATGGGCTCACTTCTTTTGAAAATTGTGCTTTCACGGTTAAGTTATTTTAAGGGAGACTTTTATGTCAACATGCACTTAGTGTATCTATCTCACATCACATTGGTATGACAGAGTCTCTTATGTCTTTGTATGTTGGAGTCTCACCTCTTCTCTCTCAATCTCTCTACAAGGTTTTTTAAAGAGACAATCTTGGACTCCACATATATCTTACACATACAAATGTGTATTACAAAAAACTGTTACCAAGATCACAACATATAATATATTAGTTTTGATTGGGAGCCAAGTCACCTAATTACAAATCATACATATATAACAAATAGATGTGTTATCTCAATTACTTGCTATCGCCCTTCCATCATGGATATACTGACTGTATTTCTAGAACACATGTTTTTGAATTCCTCACCAATGTCATTGATACTAGACAACCTTTGTAAAGTAAATAATGGCATTTTTGGCTCTGGGAGATGAGTTTCACTGCATAACATAGACTCTGCTTCTGACATTGTTGGCCTATCCTCAGCAATATCCTGAACACAAAGAAGTCCCACGTGTATGCTTCTCAAACCCTGTGACACACAACTTGACTCTCCTAATGTCTCATCTATCAATTCTACTCCTAGCCCTTCATTCCATGACTTCCATGCCTGAAATGTATGTGTCAGGAATAAACCAGAATAATCACACACAAACATAGAGTGTTTTGCATGGTTCGATCAATGTGATTTACGTCCACACAAAAAATAGTATTCTTATTCACTAGCTTGAAACCGATATTATAATATAAATAAAACCTTAGAGCCGTTATATATAGTTAAAGTACAAACGTAAACCCCAAATAGAACCGGGTCCGGCCCATCTACAACTCTCAAGTCACATTTAACAGGATGTCTTCTGTTATATGTAAATGGGAGAAGTTATGTGGTATGGTTTTGTGAGTGGAATTTTATACTTACGCGTGCGAGTGGATAGATTTGTTCGTGATGTATGAATTCAGTATTCCTTTTACCACTTATAATCTCCAATAGCATTACTCCATAACTAAATACGTCCGATTTCTCTGAAAATACTCCTCTCATCGCGTATTCAGGAGACATATAGCCACTGCATTTCATCATGAAAAGCCTATTGTTAGAGTATTCTCATGCAAGAATCAGAATTCTACATGGGAAATGAACGATTCTCACTATGTTCCAACAATCCTACGAGTATTTGCTAGCTCTTGTGTCATTTGAAAAGTACGTGCCAATCCAAAGTCTGATATCTTGGGATTCATTTTGTCATCAAGTAGAATATTGCTACATTTCAAATCCCTGTGTATGATCCTTAAACTAGAATCCCGATGGAGATAAACAAGTCCACGACCAATTCCCTGAATGATGTTGAAACGAGTCGCCCAATCAAGTTGCATACGTTTCTTTGGATCTATTTCATACAATAATATAAGTTATTTCTAAATTATGACGATTTTACAAGCGAAAATGAAAAGTATTGATCAATTCAAACTCACCAAATAGAAAGGTGTCTAAGCTTTTGTTTATCATGTACTCATAAAATCAACAATCTCTCTTTCCCTTCAAAGCAGCAACCCAAAAGTTTAACAAGATTCCTGTGTTGGAGCTTAGAAATCAACACGATTTCATTCTGAAACTCTTCAATTCCTTGTCCAGAGTGACCTGACAGCCTTTTCACAGCTATCTGCTGTCCATCATCTAACATTCCCTATTTTAAATTTTTATATTAGCTTCTTGGAATATATGTAACAGAAAGAAGTTTGTAAATACTAGATTCTTACCTTATAAACTGCCCCAAATCCTCCTTCACCAAGTTTATTTCTGTAGCTGAAGTTGTCAGTGGCAGTTATAATTTGTTCAAACTTATATATAGGCAATTCAAATGACTCCTTGCTAAGATCATCTTCTTCTTGTCTGTCCCCCAAAACAATTTGATCCTCCGAATTGAAGTGATTCAACTTCGTTTTCTTTCCTACAAAGATACATTTTTTACACATATGGATCATGAAGAGTATTTGGATGATTATAAGACATATTTTCTTACCTTTCTTATATGTCCTACACTTGTATAAACAAAAAACGAAGCCACCTAAGAAGAGCAAACCACCTATGGCTGTGAGACTTATAGCAACTGCTGCTCCTTTTGTATCTTCACCTATAAACTTGTGTTAGCCTTATGAAAATTAAACTGTCTATAATTATGATCTAAACAAGAATTTTCATTTACCTGATTCCTCAAAAACAAGGCGCAAGAAAAGATCCTCCCCACCAAATGAAAACTGTTGGATATCAATGAGGTCTTTTGTCCAAATCATACAGTGAATTCCTTCCACAAATGTATACGCCTTACAAGAGCAGTTACCCAAACACCAGCTTCCACATTCTTCACTATCCCTGTATGGAAAGTATTCATGATAATCCGTGTTAAGATTTATGGAGTCATGAACAAATTGACAAGTTCCTAAAAGTTCAAGAGCCATAAATGTAACTTAGCAAATTAAACAATTTAATTGTATTGTTTAATGGAAAGATGGACGGTGGTTCAATTATTTAATATTGAATGGACGCACATTTTAAGTGGAATAGTTTTGGACGGCATATATTTCAATTCAAATATGGCGGCTCAATTTCATGTGCAAATTGTGGCTCACAAACATATATATATATATATATATATATATATATATATATATATATATATATATATATATATATATATATATATATATATATATATATGTATGTATTGCAAGAAGAAAGTGTGCAGCAGCGTAGCGCAGAACAACAAAAGTGTCGAGTGATATTACCATTTGTAATCTTATAGTGAGTTAATATAAAATCTAGTTGCGCCCGTGGACGTAGGATTTACACCGAATCCGAACCACGTAAAATCCTTGTGTTCCTTCTTGCTTTATTTTCTCGTTTCGTTTGTGTGTGTGATAGTGTTTCCGCTGCGTGTACCCTGTCTCAATTCCTAACAACTGGTATCAAAGCCTGGTTAGCGAGGTTTTGGAGGGTACGATCGTTTTTTTTATCACGCACGAGTGTACCTGATTTGTATCTTGTTTGTCGTAATGGCTGAAGACAAGATTATAATCGAAAGGTTCAATGGTTCTGATTTTAGCTGGTGGAAAATGCAATTAGAAGCATTGCTATGTCAGAAAGACTTGGACATGGTACTCGGAGACAAACCGGAGAAAATGGAAAAAGCTGCTGAAGATGCGTGGAACTCAAAGGACAAGAAAGCCAAGGCGGTTATTACATTGTCGTTGACAAAGAGCGTTGCTTTCAACATCATGAATGAAACCACGGCACATGGTATGATGGAGGCTCTATCAAATATATATGAGAAACCATCGGCGGCTAACAAGGTGTTCTTGATGAAGGAGCTGTTCACTACAAGGATGAATGAGGAAGGCTCAGTTACGGTTCACATTAACAATCTAAATTCAATTCTGTCCAGATTATCATCTGTGGGAATTAAATTTGATAATGAGACTCAAGCTTCGCTGCTAATAGCTTCTCTACCTGATAGCTGGTCCGGAACAGTTACTGCTGTTACAAGTTCCGTGGGGACCAGTGGTATGACTTTTGAAGGGGTTAGAGATTTGGTTCTAGGCGAGGATATCAGACGCAAGAATCAAGGTGGATCTTCCTCTTCTGAGTTATTAAATGTCGGAAGAGGTAGAGGGAATAGCAGGAATAGTGGAAGCAGTGGGAGTCGGGGAAGAAGTTCATCTAGAACTAAGAAGAATGTGAAGTGCTGGAACTGCCAGGAGGTGGGACATGTTAAGAGTCAATGTCCAAAGAAAGAATTGAACATTACCGGTGCTGAGAGTGTGTCTGAGGATGATGCATTGATACTCAGTATGGAAAGTTCTGTAGACTCTTGGGTCATGGATTCAGGGGCTTCGTTTCACGTCATGGACAACGGGGAAACGATGGTGAATTTGAAAGAAGGAGATTTTGGAAAGGTACGTTTGGCAAATGACGAGATGCTTCAGGTAACGGGCATGGGAGATATTGATTTGGTTACTTCATTAGGAACTACATGGAGCCTGAAGGATGTCAGGGTGATTCCGGAGCTGAAGAAGAAATTGATTTCTGTTGGTCAGCTGGATAAACAAGGACTGGAAGTAAGGTTTGGTAGTGGTAAATGGAGGGTGGTCAATGGTGATCTGGTGATTGCTCGTGGTATAAAGTGTGGGTCATTGTATATGGTTGAGGTACCTGCTGAGGGAAGTATGACCATCCCTGTTAAGCAAGACAAAATCTGGTTCGCTAAATCTACGGCTAAGAGAGTTCATTTTGCAAACATGAATTCTGGAGCCAAGGGGATGTTAGCTGAACGAGTCGGAAAGTCTAAACCAGTCAGGAGATTCTGTGACAGTGGGAGTACGGGGCGTGTTCCGGGTACAGTTACAAAGAGCCGTTGGGTTTTGAAGACTCAGACTGAAAAATTCTCTCCTGTTGAATGTTTGCAAAGTTGGGAGAGTGTTAGTGGTCATCGGTGTATCTCTGGATCTGGTGGAGTGTCCAAACCGGTTGAGACAGAGGATGAGTTGGTGGCGGGATTAGCCACGGCTGAGTTGGAGCTAGTGGGAGCTTCAACTGGCCCTTCTAGAAATTGATGATGAGGGGCGGCTGCAACTAGAGAAATCAGACTAAGTTTTAGCTTGTTCTTTGGAACTGGAAGCTTGAAGGACTTGGTTGTTTTTTAAGATTACTGGAGTAATTAAGAGTTGGATGGCGGAGAAAGACTAATTTGTTCAAGCCTTCAAGTGGGAGATTGTTAAGATTTATGGAGTTATGAACAAATTGACAAGTTCCTAAAAGTTCAAGGGCCATAAATGTAACTTAGCAAATTAAACAATTTAATTGTATTGTTTAATGGAAAGATGGACGGTGGTTCAATTATTTAATATTGAATGGACGCACATTTTAGGTGGAATAGTTTTGGACGGCATATATTCCAATTCAAATATGGCGGCTCAATTTCATGTGCAAATTGCGGCTCACAAACATATATATATATATATATATATATATATATATATATATATATATATATATATATATATATATATATATATATATATGTATGTATTGCAAGAAGAAAGTGTGCAGCAGCGTAGCGCAGAACAACAAAAGTGCCGAGTGATATTACCATTTGTAATCTTATAGTGAGTTAATATAAAATCTAGTTGCGCCCGTGGACGTAGGATTTACACCGAATCCGAACCACGTAAAATCCTTGTGTTCCTTCTTGCTTTATTTTCTCGTTTCGTTTGTGTGTGTGATAGTGTTTCCGCTGCGTGTACCCTGTCTCAATTCCTAACAATCCGGAAGCTTAATCCCTTTTATTACCTGAAAGTTATCTGGTTCACTCTTACTTTCATTCTTCTCACATAAAAGTTCATTTCGCCTCACACAACCCCTTGTCCAGTTACTTTTCCTCCATTCATCATCCGACCATGGTACAAACCCTCTTAAGCAATCACAAATAGGAAACTTTTTGTCTGTACAAATTGAAAAAACACCACAAACTCCATAAACATCACAAGGATTCGCTGGTGCTTCCCAAGTAAAATCCCAAACGTTATGAACATCATCTATGTAATTATACTGTAACACACCATCATGTCTTAAATAAAGCCATCTAATATCAGATGAGTTATAATTGTTAATGGTGAGGAAAGCTCCTCCTTGTGAGTTCTCAGGCATGATAGTCATTTGATTTGGGTACCTAGTCTCCTGCTCTGGTATACCTATAAACTTCCCTCCATCCCAGGGCCCACCTCTCCAATACGCCTTTGAACCATGCCATATGAAAGCTTGTGGTGGCTGATCTTTTGAAAGTCCAACAACAAAATCTCCAGGATTTGGATCGTTTTCACTCTTCCATGATGTCATTAGATCTTTTCCAGATGTTCCAAGCCTCATGACTGGTAATAGAGTGTTACCAGGATAGTCAAAACTCGCGCACAAAGTCAACCCTGAGATGGTATCGTTAAGAGCAAAACATCCTGCGTCTGTAAGCTTTGCGGTTGTTTTGTTTGACTGGACACGTATGCTTGTTGACCACACGGTGTTTTGGACACCATCTAGCTAGGATTCTCAGGTTCCCATTGTTGTCAATTGTTAGGGTGGAATTAGTGTCAGAAACTGAGAGTGGATTTTGTCTGTTTGCAATCCATATAAATTTTTTTGGAGGGACGTTTTTGAACCATATACCAAGATATAGGTTACTGGAATTACCTGGACTGAAGAACCCTAGCTCAAAGATTTGATTGGAAGAGACAAGAGTCTGCTCTAATGAGATTGGACTATCTTTAGTCAATATATCAGTAGACTTGCAGTGTTGTAGTGAAATAATCAGGATATACATGCATGTAATGCATAAAAAGTTTACAAAAGTGGCTCTTCTAATAGCCATATCCTTTTGCACATTAAGTCTTTAGAATTTGAAAAATTCACAATCTATCAGTTTAGCATGATGATCACATTTAATCTAAAGCCAAGTCTTTCCTTTGTAGGTCGGTGCTCTTTTCATATTGTGATAAAGATAAACACTTGACTTTTTTCTGATCAAAATGTGATTTTTCACAATATGACATGGTCGCTTCTTTTAAAGAACTCACGACTAATATCCTGATAGCTATACTTTATCTACTTTAATGTCAACCACAATATATAAAAAAGTGATATTGTACTGAGGGTTAGTAGTACAATTAATCATAGATCCAGTCAAAACCACATAAAGTCAACATGATGAAAGTAAACATTGTTTTGATCCTCTCCCTGCTATTGATCTTGAATTTATTGGTTAAAATCATAAATCATAGCATAAGATATTACATGTTGCAAGGCACTAACTCTTGTATTAATGTAGGTTAGTCACATTAGTATCAGTTGTGCTCATCATCGAAGAAACTATATGTTTGGTTGGATGGAATGGAATGGACTAGGTAATGAACGAATCATTAAATTCCATAATCATGTTTGTTTAGTTGTCGGATTGGAATGAATTATTTTTATTTATATGTTAATACAATGTATATTTTTTAACTCTATTATCATGTAATTACAATTAATGAAATAGTCATTATATTTCATGATCAAGTCATGATAAAAACATAAATTTTCCAGATATTTTTTGAAAAATAAAATGTAATTTAATTAAAATCATGAAATGTAAAAAAGGAAAAGAAAAAAAGATCAGTTTCTTTAAAATGACAAAATAAAAATGGGTTATCATGCGATTTTCATCCCATTGCACATTCCTTAAAGAATATAGGACATTCCATTCCATTTCATTCATCGTTAGTCTGGTTCCAAGCAACTTTTTTTTTCATTAATTGAATAAACCATTCCATTCCTTCCCGACTTCCACCAAAACAGATAACAAAGAGTTGTTTAGGCGACTTTCTATTATGACTAATTAGGTGTTTCTGTTAAGTTATTAGGGGGAGTCAGCTAGGGGGTTTATAATTTTTTATAGTAAGATCAGTTAAGTTGGTTTAGTTGAAGTATAAATCGGAGGTTAGTGTTAGTGAGTAGCCGGCAATCTTGTTAAGGCTGTTTGGTAACCCTCTTAATGGTTTTATTCAGAGGCAACTTCTGAATCTGAATCATTAAGCATTCATGTCGTTTCGCTAGGTTAATTAATTTATTAATTAATTGTCATTTATGGTATCGTACCAAACAAGATACACTTTCAAACTTTATTTTTGCTCGCCTCCTCCAAACATGTTTGTTTGGATTGAAACTTTATTTTTATACTTTTGTTGTCCACTTTGCAAAGGAGTTCCCCATCACAACGCGCTAGATGACTAAATACTAGTATGCCATCAAACACAACAAATTCAGAAAAATTAGAAGTAATCAATCACAAAATACCAATGCCAGAATTCAAAGTATCAACGAGAGCACAACAGAAGACTGAACTTTCCCTTTATAATGTATGGGTATGACCAACATAGGAGTATGACTAGATTGATGACATTTAAGTTGTCATAAGGAAATTTCAATCATTTAGTTAAGCTCAACTAAGCTCTGAGTCTTTCTACATTATTTTAAAAGGGCTGAACTTTCCCTTAATAATGTATGGGTATGACCAACATAGGATCTATATCTATATTTTTCTGTATCAAAATAACTACTTAAAAACACCTACTACAATAATTTAGGGGGTATACGAATCTTTCTGCTAGTGAATTATGAGAATGCAGTTTGCAAACAGAGATATGTTAGGATGCTATAAATTCACAATTTTTATGCTCACATGTTCTATTTGATATAGCTTTAGATTAACAGAATAGTAATATAAGACGATTACCTCATCAATATTCCATAAGGACCAATCTTCAATCATGAATCAGAGTTTAGTTCAAAACAGAACCAAATCTATACTGGTTCTTAACAAGCATGTCAGATAATCTATACCTTGTGAAGAGCAACCTGCATACAAGAATATACAACGTACATTAAGATCTTAAAATTAAGGATTCGTAGGAGGGAAAGGGTCAACAAGATCTTATTAATATTAAGTCATGCATTGACTACAGAACACAAGAAACACAAGTTTTGGGAAGCTACCTAATTCTATTAGTTTAAGTCATGCAGGAAATGAGTACTTAGTCAAACTGTCATCAACTGTGTTTTAAATTATAATTTCACCATGTTGACTTTATGTGATTTTGACCCCTAGAATATAATAGATAAACTATAGCTATCACTGATCAGGATGTTAGTCTCTAGTTCTTTAAAAAAGGGATGATATTACTAAATATGTAAGTTCTAGGAAATTTGATAAGAAAAGTCAAAGTTTATAAGATAATAAGAAAAGAGCACCGATGGAAAAGTCATTTAATTTCCAAATTATTTGTTCATAGATTGAAATTTGATTATCATGCTAAACTGAAAGCATCCATAGATTGTGAACTTTCCAAATTCTAAAAACTTAAACTTCAGAAGGTAGGGTCTTTAAAAACCAATAGGTATACGATGAGTATTAGAAGAGATATAGCTGCAAACCGTTTATGCATGTACATCCCTGCTTATTTCACTACAACACTGCAAGTCAACTGATACATTGACCAAAGATAGTCCGATCTTGTTACAAAATACTCTTGTCTCTCCCAATCGAATCTTTGAGCTAGGGTTCTTCACTCCAGGTAATACCACTAACCGATATCTCGGTATATGGTTCAAAAATATTCTTCCAAGAAAATTCATATGGGTTGCAAACAGACAAAATCCAATCTCAGTTTCTGAAAAAAATTCCACCCTCACAATTGGCAACAATGGGAACCTGAGAATCCTAGATGATGACCAAAAGACTGTTTGGTCAACAAGCATAAAAGTCCAGTCAAACGAAACAATCGCAAAGCTTACAGACGCAGGAGATTTTACTCTTAATGATACAATCTCAGGGTTGACTTTATGGGAAAGCTTTGACTATCCTTGTAACACTATCTTACCAGGAATGAAACTTGGAACAAATGGAAAAACACAAGGGAAATATCTATTAACATCATGGAAAAGTGATAATGATCCAACACTTGGAGAGTTTGTTCTTGGGCTTTCGGGAGAACAGCCACCACAAGCTTTCACATGGCATGGTTTAAAACCGTACTGGAGAAGTGGGCCATGGGATGGAGGAAAGTTTATAGGGGTACCAGAGCAAGAGGCTGGGTACTCGAATCTAATGACTCTCATGCCTGAGAACTCACAAGGAGGAGCTTACCTCACTATTAACATTTATAGCTCATCTGATATCAGATGGCTTTATTTGAGACATGATGGTGTGTTGGAGTTGAATTACTTTGGATGATGTTCGTAACATATGGGAATATAGTTGGGAAGCACCTGCGAATCCTTGTGATGTTTATGGAGTTTGTGGTGCTTTTTCAATTTGTACAAATAAGTCTCGTATTTGTGAGTGCTTAAAAGGGTTTGTACCAAAATCGAATGATGAATGGAGTAAGAGTAATTGGACAAGGGGTTGTGTGAGGGGAAATGAGCTTTTGTGTGAGAAGAATGAAAGTAGTTTGGCTTCTGGAAAAGGTAAACCTGATAAGTTTCAGGTTGTAAGTGGGATTAAGCTCCCAGATTATTATCAATACTTTCCTTACATGGATATGGATGATTGTAAGAGCTTGTGTTTGGGTAACTGTTCTTGTAAGGCGTATGCCTTCGTGGAAGGGATAAACTGCATGATTTGGGAAAAAGAGCTTATTGATATCGAGCAGTTTTCATTTGGTGGGGAGAATCTTTTCTTGCGCCTTGCCTATGAGGAATCAGGTAAATTCAAATTTTTTTTTGAACAGTGATTTATAAGCCTAACATGTGTTTATAGGTGAAGAAACAAATGGAGCAGCAGTAGCAGTTGCCATCAGTCTCACAGTTATAGGTGGTGTAGTCATCTTAGGTGGCTTTGTG